AAGCTTAGCTTAGCAGTTGTGCAGTATCCCTGGAAGCAGCCCTCACCCAGCCAGCCAACCTCTCCCAGAACTACTTGGTAATGTAATCCTTCCTAGACTTCCTATCTACAGAATATCTGACCTGGACTAAAAGTGCCCATTGCATTAGTCTTCAAATCAATATCTGTGGAGCACCCATATCCTAGGCCAGGGCTGTAAACACAGTCTTGGCTCAAAGTCAGGATTAAAAAGACCCTGTCATCACCTTCTGCTTTTTCAAACTGCTGCAGCGGACAGTTTTTCTGTAAGCACACATAATAGGGATTGCAAACCTGTGTTTAGTTGTCAGGGTAGAAGGTGCATCCCCTATAATTCAAGGCTCAGTGGAAAGTACAGTTGACAAATAAATGATAGGGCTTAACCAGGACTTGTAGAGAATTAAAGGGCTTTTGGCCTTTGCCTATGATCATAGGGGCTCCGTTAGAAAAGTTAGAAGCTGATTGGTTACTATGAACAACTGCTCCAGATTTTGTCTGCTCCAGTTTTGATTAATTTTCCCACTTGTGTTCTCCCGTTACCCTTAGGAGGGAAAAGCCCTAACCCCATAGTTCTCCTTTAAATGTAAATTCTAGTATTGGTCCCATCTGCACAGCCACTTTTTGTCCACTCCAGTCCACATTTTTAAATCCCCTCTAACCCCCCCAGCCACATTTTACCATTCTTCTAGGTATATACCCTTCCCTAGTTCTCCACAGACACATTTTTCTCCTTATACACACATGGTTTAATTTCTTTCCACAAACACTAGGAGTCTATTTGTAAACAATTCACAGAGCCATTCTGCCATTATGGCCACTTGTCAAAGACCACCTGTTATTGCGCATACCATTGGAACAGCTGCGAAAAAGCAAGGCATACACTATTTAAACCAAGCCTGCCTGTCTCCAAATTGCTGGATTGTCTTTCAGCTCCCCTGTGTTCTTCTTTCTTGTATCGCCTGACTTCTGACCCGGATTGATCGTGGCTATTCTTGCTTGCTGCCTGCCCTTGACCCTGGATCGTTTACCAGACCTTGCCTCTGCCTCATCCTTTCTGTACCTTGCCTGCCCAATTGGTGTGACCTTGGCTCGTTTGACCCTGATTACGGATTCTGCTCCGCTCCTCACCCAGCACCTAGACTTCAGCTTGCACGGTGTGATCACCACTGGCACCTGTGCCACTCACTGTCTACTCGGACTTTGTCCCCAACTCCAGAGTCCTTGGGACATGAGGTGCAAGGGAGGCCTCCTCGCACATTCATTCTCCAACCAGGTACGTGACACCACTAGATGGAGCTGAGGAGTATAGAAAATAGGTATTTTCTGTGCTCCTCAGCTCCATCTAGTGGCCACAATGCGGTATTACACCATATCATGCACATCTTTCATATCTCACGTTTTTGCATCTATTCGTACAAAACGAATGGTCATGAAGGTTCACAGGGCGAATGGCCCTGCAAATTGTTTATAGATATTATCTATCTATCAATCTTTCATCTATTTATCTATCTAGCTATCAATCTATTTATGTATCAAGCTATCTATTATTATTATACAGGATTTATATAGCGCCAACAGTTTGTGCAGCGCTTTACAATATAATTAAGACATTACAATCACAATACAATTCAAGACAAGATGGTAAGAAGGGCCCTTCCCCTGAGGGCTTACAATCTAAGGGAGGGGGAAGTGATACATCTATCTATCTATCTATATATCTATCTATCAATCATCTATTTATCTATATCATCTATCTATCAATCGATCTATTAGTTATCCGTTATCTATCTATCATTTATTACCTATCTATCTATCTATCTATCAGCTAGCTATCAATCTTTTATCTGTCTATGTATTTATTTATGTATCAATTATCTATCTATCTATCTTTTGTCTATCTATCTATCTATCCATCTATCATGTAACGAAGTGTACAGCGCTAAATGCCCTTCAGGAAATTCGATAACGTTAAGGATCAGAGTGATAATACCTCCGTGTCAAGCAATCATAAAAAATGTATATATAATAAATGTTTGTGTAAAAAGTTATAATGTGTTACAAACTGTGTCAACCGGTGTCATAAATAGCGTGTCAATAAAAACACCTTATTAATTAAATAACTAAAAAATCTTCAAAAAACATGTGTCATATATGTGAAAAATAAAATTATCACATTGAAAACCAGTCTGTTATTTTCTTTCGAAAATTATTAAAAATACGAACTTATAACAATTTTTTGGAAATGCACTTAAAGTTTTTACATTTCTTGGAGTTCTCAGATCTTCAACACAAGAAGCCCAAAAAATGAAAATCAAAATCAAAAGAAATATTCAATATTGTGAAGTGTCTATCTATCGTCTATCTATTTACACTGAGTGGCCAGATTATTATGACCACCCTATCAGTACTTTGTTGGGCCACGAGATGACTTAGTTGGGCTGACTCGTGACTCCACGAGATGTTGAAAGGTAATGCGAGGAATCTGACACTGCACTGTTACCCTTCTGTTGTCTTGTACCAGTCTTGCCACTCTCCGTTCTGCCCTAACATTGACTAGTCGCTGACGGCCACAATTCGCACGTTCAGACCCAGATTCTCGGCTGACAGTCCAGTCTTTAAACACTTTAACAACAGCTGCTCTTGAACATTTAACGAATTCTGCTGTTTTGCTGATACTCGCTCCATGGCTCCGAGCGCCAACAATCATCCCACGTTCAAAGGCTGTTAAATCGCTTTGTTTACCCATATCTTCAGAAAAAATCACTTCTACTGTCGTGGTAAACAACCTGCTTCCCTATTTATAATGGCCTGACCCTCTAGCAACTTCAGCGCAAAATTATAACTAATTTGCCTACAAACGTCAGGTGGTCATAATAATCTGGCCACTCAGTATATATATATATCAATCATCTATCTATATATCTATCAATCATCTATATATCTATCTATCTTTCTATTGTTCTGTCATCGGCCTATTGTTGTCATTGTTTGTAGTCTAAGATTTTGACACATTTGCATCATTAGGATTAAAGACGGAAGGTGAAAAGACCACAGTGGTTCTGCAGCAGTTCAAAGAAAATACACTGATGCTCAGCAAATAAAGTTTATGAACAAGACATTGCTGGAAAATGTTAGTATGATTTCATCACTTGTCTATTGCTAGATTACCCTTTATTGACTCTGTTTACAAAAACTGTTTTTCCTTGCTATAAGTAATGCAGTAATGTTCTGCCCTGTGACTTCTGATTCAGATGTAAGGCCACTGTTTTGCTCTATTCACAGTGATGACACATGCTTTTTATAGGCTGGCAAAGCAGAAGTATTTGCTTTACATTCACTACCCTTTTAGAAAAGTATTGTAGGGACAAGTTCACACATAAACACATTTTTGTAGTGTGTAGTTTGTGGCACTGCAATTCAGTTTGTTCAGATTGATTGCGCTAGGAGATTATAAATATAGATAAATCAATCAATAGGATACCAGCTGCAACAATGTGTATCAATGTGATCGGATGTGAGCTAATATGTTGCGCTTGGTTATTTCAACAATTCATAGTGATATTCAAATCGTGAAAGGTGATTTTAGACGAATAAAATATTAATTTATAAAAATTATAAATAGTTAAATAATGAAATAAATGATGAATAAATGTGTGTAGCCTTGGCTCGTCTGTTATTATTCACTCTCTGTTTCGTGATAGTAGTGGCACATACGTGGTCTAAGTGACAATGATGTATATACCATAAAAACATGTAAATTATTTAAAATTGTGTATATAAGATAGTGTGTGACAATTGTATAACTCCCATTAAACGGTTGATATTATGTGACAATTATATAAATCACATTAAACGGTATATCAATGGAGAGGTTAATCATCAGAGGAAAATACTGAGTAAACTGCAGAGTTCAGCAGAGGTAGCGGTCAGATTATAAAACCCGCTTACTATCCACTCTATTAGAGTCCAAATAAATTTAGACAATTCAGGTTTGAGAGTTCCTAGAGACATTAGAGAATATTTATGGTCAGATTGGGGATCATTGATATTTTTGTATGAACCTCCACTCCTCTGGCTCATTCTCCCTGACTGAGCCTATTTTGCTGAAAATCCATCATTGCCAGTTACTATTATTTGCGCTGAGTATGGCACATGCTTACATCACTTTCACTTGCATATTCCATTTTTTTTTCCTTTCTGAAGATTTTACCTCATGAACTACACTGAGTGGCCAGATTATTATGACCGCTCCATCAGTACTTCGTTGGGCCACGAGATGACTCCACGAGATTACTTTGTTGGGCCGCCTCGTGACTCCAAGAGATGTTGAAAGGTGATGTGAGGAATCTGACACTGCACTGTTGCCTTTCTGTTGTCTTGTACCAGTCTTGTCACTCTCCGTTCTGCCCTAACATTGACTAGTCGCTGACGGCCACAATTCACACGTTCAGACCCAGATTTTCGGCTGACAGTCCAGTCTTTAAACACTTTAACAACAGCTGCTCTTGAACATTTAACGAATTCTGCTGTTTTGCTGATACTCGCTCCATGGCTCCGAGCGCCAACAATCATCCTACGTTCAAAGGCTGTTAAATCGTGTTGTTTACCCATATCTTCAGAAAAAATCACTTTACTGTCGTGGTAAACAACCTGCTTCCCTATTTATAATGGTCTGGCCCTCTAGCAACTTCAGCGTGAAATTATAGCTAATTATAGCTAATTTGCCTACAAACGTCAGGTGGTCATAATAATCTGGCCACTTAGTGTATATGTAGGCAGTTTTCAGTTGTTGCTACTTCTTAGCAGTCACCTCCTTTGCAGCACACTGAAATAAGCTTAATATAAAAGAGATTAGTGACGAATAATGTATTCTCAGTGGCAAAGAGATTTAATCATCCTTGTAGTTCTAGCCCTCATGTACACACACATACCTTTGTAGTTTTCCTTGAATAAGTTCCGCCCTGTTACTGCTATCACGAGGTCAAATATTTACCTTCAACCCCAATCCAGTAAGCTTCCCTGTGCGGCCCCTCTTGGAGCCACACAGGCTTTCTCCTGAAATTGAATATGACTGTTTCATACTGCATATGCACAATGCTGTCCCGTTCTTTCCTATGGGAAAGCCGTACTCCAATCTCCAGCGTATGGCCGATACAAGTATAGCTTTTCTATAGGAATGAAAGGGGGAAGCCTACAGACAGACAAATTTATACCAATCTGGCCCGATCAGTGAATGTTTTACTATTTCATGTATGTAGTCATCTTAAGGCTGTCACACAGCCAGTCACAATCACATGTATTGTGTTACAATCATATTAAAGCTGGCCATACGCAGCTCAAGCTTTGGCTGATTCCAGTGAAATGAAAAATCGAAGTCACTAGGTGAAAAAAGATGGCCAAACAGTAACTGTAGCCAATCAGCTACAGTCATTGTGTATTCTGACAGCTGACAGTGCTGGCTGTCAGGATACAATAGTCTGTTTAGCATGGATGAGGAAATTGAATGAGTTTTCTCATTGAGTTCACTGGGCTGAATGAGAACATTTTTTGTCAGCTTTAGCCTAATTCTAGCTATGTACGGCTGAATTTCAGCTAATTCCTGCTGAATCAGCTAAAAATCCACTCACAGGTGGTCCTGCCAGCACCACCTCGCTCAACTAATGTCAATTTCAAAATCGACTGAGCTGGGTGGAAAATTCTTGGCTAAGCAGTGACTGCGCCCTATGCAGTCACTGTTCAGGTATTCAGGCAGCCATAGATGCTCAGAGTCTGAATACAGTACCCAACAGGGTCCATTCCTCAGGGTGATATAGTAACCATGAGGAAAGAAAAGGTGACTATGTACCCTTAGGAAGGGACCCTGCGTGGCCCTAAAACTTTGGCTTAATTGACGCATGTTCAATAAAAATGAACAAGAAATTGACGCTTTCAATCCTGTGACTGCTGGTAATTCCCTTATTCATATTGTGAGAACACACGGCACCATCTGTGTCATCACTTTAAGCACCGCAACCCGTATCCTCATGGTCTACACCACTGCATGGAGTGCAGGTGACACACTAGTTGCATTCAAACATATCGCTATTTAAAAGCATGTGGTCAAACCCGCAACCAATAAAACCTGCAGCTTCCAAAGGGAGCAGGTCAAAAACACCCTCAAAACTGCTTCTCCCGTGGCCGCTGGATACCTGACCAGTGCCTGTATGGATGGCAGGACATTGTGTTGTCCGGTACAGGCCTGGAGGTGCAATGATCTTTTTGGAATTTTTTAAAGTGTTATTTTTGTCAATGTGCCATTCATGTATGTGCTCCCATCATCGAGATGTTTTCCTTTTTTGCGTTCAAGGTTACATGGATTTGGGGGGGGCTTTTTTTATTTCCCAAAAAAAAATGTTGGATGAAAATCATTTCTCATCAGACAAAAGAAAGCATTTGCCTGAAGGCTGCATGCGAGGAGCTGAAAGGTGGTGGGCAGCAGAAAAGCCAGGGTTAAATCCAGAGAAAGCTGCCAGAATGGGTGGGACTTACGGAAGGGAAATGAGATGAGAGGAAGTGAAACATTTCAATGTTCCTGGAGCAGAGCAGGTGGTAACATAACACTCCGTAGCACACATTTGTGTTTATTAATGCAGTGACCGTCATCTTGCTAATAGCTGGGGAAGGTGGAGCAGCTTATAGGCATCGCTGTCTAATGAATCTTTTGTCCTCGCAGCATTCGTGCAAGGCCAGGGTGAAATAACTTCATGCAGGCTTTGTTACAGCTTTGCTAAGTGCTAGAAAGATGTAGAGCTGAGATGAGCAGTTTCTTTGTGTGTGTTGCACTAGAATGTGAACAGAAAGATGAAGTCATGACATGTTGCAGGCATGCAAATACTGCCCGTAAAGGGGGGGGGGG